TAGTAGAGACAGGGTTTCACCATGTTGACCAGGATGGTCTCGATCTCTTGACCTCGTGATCCACCCGCCTCGGCCTCCCAAAGTGCTGGGATTACAGGCTTGAACCACCGCGCCCGGCCCTCTGCTTTCATTTTAATGCCTCGGTGCCAAGAAGTCCCTATGTTCCACTCTGTCCCTTGCTGCAGCCTCACGCTCAGCTCCTCCTGCATCTGGTCTCCATAGTGCTGAGTGGGAGACATGGGGTAGATGGCAGACAGACAGGCAGAAAGTCAGCCAGCCAAAGGTCAGCAGTCCCCACCCACCTGTCCAAAGCGGGGGAAGTAGGGCGGACTGTTAGGAAGGACGTCATTCATTCCTGCAGCACAGTGGACAAAAGGCCAGACGTGGGGTGGAGCAGGGCAGCCTGGGACCAGAGGGAGTCCCAGGCTCCCCACCCCAGATGCCCTATCTCTGTCCCCATCCCCAGGCTCACCAACATGCCACAGGGGCAGGATGATGGGGTTGAGATGACACTCAGCAATCAGGCGCCCGATTCCTGCCCGGGGGGAGGCAGAAATATTAGCATGAGCTGGGCCCTGGGCCAAGCTTCTGTGCCAGCCTCTGTCCAGTGCCCCCCACTGGCATCCTCCAGTTTGCTTCAGCTCCCCTGGGCAAGCCCCAGTCTGAGAACCATCCCCTTCCTGCCGCTACAACACTCCCATCTGCCCCCATACAACCCAGCCCGAGGGGACAGGAGCCAAGGGCCCACGGGACCATCTCTGGGCCCGGAGGATGGCTGTGGCCAAAGGCCAGCACCCTTACCCCACTTGAAGCGCAGGAACTCAGAGCTCATGTTCACTTTCCCTGGTAAAAGAGCACAGAAGCGAGGCTCTGGAGCCCATCCTGCTCAGACTGGGGGGATTCAACCCAGTCAGCCCTGCTGACCTTCTGGGAAGATGTGCACCCAGTCCCCATGGTTGAGCTTCTCCAAAATGAAGTCCATCCCCTTCTGGTAGACGCCATCTCCTGCAAGGAAAAGGCCTCTCCCCATCAGTCCCCGTTCCTGGGAGCATGGGGTGGTGGGTTAGCGTACCCTCAACGCTCTCAAAACCTCAATGAAACAGGCCCTTCTCCCTGGGGCCCATGTGTTGGGGACTATCCCCCTCAGTCCCTCCTCCCTGGGAAAGCCCCAGCAGATTAGGGACTTCCCATCCCACTCTGCGCCATCCACACAGGCGCCCTCCAATGACCATCTCCAGGGCCTGCTTGGCCCCTGGGCACTGTGGTGCTTCCTTCCTAGTATCTTCTAAACCCCTCTGCCAGGCAGCAGCCTCATCTCCAGCCATCTCCTACTGAGATTCTGACCTGGCAGTCCCTACATCTACCTACGACCCCCTCTTCAGGGGCTCACCAGCTGGGCCACTTCAGCCACATATCCCTGCACACTCTCAAAGACCCCCAGGTCAGCACACCAGCTGCCTTCCCTCCCCGGCCAGGCCCTGGCTGCCAGCCGACAGCTCTCGGAGCCTCACGCCTTCCTTTCTCCTCAAAGGCGCCAGTCCTGGGGTGATCCTACTATGTGCTGGCTGCTGGAGAAACCAAGTGCATTTGTCATTTCCAACCTTGCATAGGCCCCAGATTCTGGGCAACAACCCTTTCCTGAGGTCTCAGCCACTTGCATAGCCACTCCTCACAGGGCACCTGCCTGACGCCTCAGCCTCCACCATTCCTCCCTCCTGCTGGCCCCTTCTTCTCAGGGTGCCCCAGAAAATTAGACCCTTCCTTATAGGGAGGCCTCTTGGAAAAAACTCAAACTTACTAGACTGTAAACAGTGGAGTCGAACTGCTCCTGATCTAGCAACCTTCCACCTTGGAGATAATAACCCTGAGACTATGACACTGGACCCAGGAGAAGGAAATGCAAACCTCCTTCCTTCTGCCTGCTGCTGCGTGCTGGCTGGCAGCCTGGGGACGCTTGGAGACAGTAAGTACACAGTAAGGATCTCATCAGCCTCGGTGATGGAAAAGTGACCACATGGTGGACAAAACAGCAAAGAGGAGGTAGAGAGGTTGAAGGAATGGGGTACAGCAGACATCCTCATCTTGTAAAGTGGGGAGTAAAGACCCCTACCACAGAGGGAGAGACCAGACATTGGGAATACCTCTGGCCAATGAACTTTGAACTTGTTCTCTGCAAGGCCAATTCTTTGGAAGGTGTTAGTTAAAGATCCAGGAGTCTTTTTTTTTTTTTTTTTTGAGACGGAGTTTCGCTCTTGTTACCCAGGCTGGAGTGCAATGGCGCAATCTTGGCTCACCGCAACCTCCGCCTCCTGGGTTCAGGCAATTCTCCTGCCTCAGCCTCCTGAGTAGCTGGGACTACAGACACGCGCCACCATGCCCAGCTAATTTTTTGTATCTTTAGTAGAGACGGGGTTTCACCATGTTGACCAGGATGGTCTCGATCTCTTGACCTCGTGATCCACCCGCCTCAGCCTCCCAAAGTGCTGGGATTACAGGCTTGAGCCACCGTGCCCGGCCAGATCCAGGAGTCTTAACCCAACCCAGAGGGCCCTGACCCAGCAGCCCACTTGGGCTACAGGAAGGGGGTGATGACCCACTGGAGTTTGCTCAGGGCATGGGCAAAGCAGCAGTTTCCCTACTTGGGATGCAGCATGTGTAACAGTAACGGGGAGTCGTCATAGCTCTGGCCCTTCTCTACTAAAATCCACTGAACTGGAAACTAGATTTTAAAAAACAATAATAATATGCTTTTGGAGTAAGACTTCGTCGTTTGTAACTTTTGCAAATGCTACTACCACTCACTTGTGTTGCTTGTGTCAAATTACTTCAAAACTTAAATACCCTATCAAAGTCTACGCTTAGAGAAAAAGAGAATTCTGGAACACAGAAGCTAAGTGTGCCAAATATGTCTTTTGCCTTAATGACATATGATTAGTTCTTTGTTGGAGGAAGTGAGCGGCAGGGGCGGGGGTGAATGAGTAGAGTCCCCGTCTCTCAGAGCAGGTTGGGATGAACAATGCCACAGTCATTTGTCAAGACACTATGGCCTCTGCTTGTTCCTTTACAGAGACAGAAGTAGCCTCCAAAAGCAGCAGAATGAGAAACTACTCCAGGGGGCTGCTTCCGAGGAGCGGGGCTAGGGAGGCCAAGGGCGGGCACTGCAGCTTTCCATTAAAAGCCCCTCTTTGTTATTTGTTGTTACTTTATTGGGTTTTACCACGTTCTACTTTGACCAGTTAGAAATAATAAACTCTTCCTTGACCTATATCCTTTGGTTACTTCCTTCTTTCTCTTTTTCCTCCCAACTGAACCTCTGAGAGGAGTTGCCACCCTTGCCATCTCCTCACCCCCACCACTGTAGCACCACCAGCCCTCAGGCCGTAACAATCTGGCTTCAGCAGCTGTCACTCCATGGACACACGTCTCTAGCGTCACCTGTTCCATGGTGCCACAGGCCCCTGGTTTGCTGCTTTTCTCCCTGGCCATGGCTCTCTGCCACGTTGGTGGCTTCTCTCTCCCTCTGTGCCATCTTGGGCCTCTGCCCTCTCTCCACAGGCTCTTACTCTGCATTTGTGACTTTGTAGTTGAATTCCCAATATCTTTATTCCTAATCATTCTTCTCAGTTCCAGAACTGCATACTCTGGGACTGCTCCCCTTCCACAGGCTACAGGCTCCTCAGATGCAGCACAAACAAAATGGGACTCACCTTCTCCCCTCCCAGTCCCTGCATTGCTTTCCCTTTGCCCCACTTTCCCCGTGACTCAGCTGAGACACCTGGTGTCATTTTTGAGTTCTTTTTTTTTTTTTTTTTTTTTTTTTTTTTTTTTTTTTTTTTTTTTTTTTTTTTTTTTTTTTTTTTTTTTTTGTTTTTTTTTTTTTTTGAGACGGAGTTTCACTCATGTTACCCAGGCTGGAGTGCAATGGCACGATCTCGGCTCACCGCAACCTCCGCCTCCTGGGTTCAGGCAATTCTCCTGCCTCAGCCTCCTGAGTAGCTGGGATTACAGGCATGCACCACCATGCCCAGCTAATTTTTTGTATTTTTAGTAGAGACGGGGTTTCGCCATGTTGACCAGGATGGTCTCGATCTCTTGACCTCGTGATCCACCCGCCTCGGCCTCCCAAAGTGCTGGGATTAAAGGCGTGAGCCACCGCGCCCGGCCCAATACCTCCTTGAATTCTAATGCCAAGGCTCTGGGTCCACATGATCCCTGGGCAGTTGCAGAGAATTGAGGGCTCTCCAGGGAGCTGTCCCTCCTCCCGCAGCCTCTGCCCCTTCTGCTGCCATGTGATGAAGCTGGGCCTCATGCTGGCTCCTGGGCTCCCTGCCCACATGGGTCCCTCCAAAACAGAGACACTGGCCACCAGCTTTCCTGCCCCAGAAGAGCCTCCCTGCACTCGAAGGAGGAGCAGCTCACCTCGGCACACAGGCACACACTTGCCCAAGCTGAAGAAGTGGGAGTGCAGCTCCTTGGTGAAGCAGATGTCTGCAGCTGCAGGGGTCCTGAGCAAGGATGGATGCAATCAGTCCTGTCCCCTACACCCCACTCCACCACCCTGCCCCCAGCATTGGCATGCAGAAGGGAGGCACAGGGGGAGGGCCTGTAGGGCCCCACCCCATGCCCTGCCTGGACTGCTGGACGCCACCTCCTGGGCAGAGCAGGAGGAAGGCAAATCTGGGCAGAGGCAGGTGGGGCCGGCCGGGCCCACTTCGAGGGGCCCATTCCTCCTCACCAACGCATCAACTTCAGGTTCCAGATGTGGCGGAGTTTCAGGATCCCTAGAGGAGAGGAAAGGCTTCATGCCCCAACTTTCCTTATACCCAGGCAGTGCCTTTCCTTCATCCCATTTCAGGGAATGAGGGACAAGGACAGCAGCACTACCATTTCCCTACAGCCCAAAGTGGCATCTTTCAGATACTTAGTCCAGACCGTTCAGCTCTCCCTGGCTCCTCCCTCTCCCCCCATCCTCCACATCTTACTCATCATTGCACCTGGACTGCCTACCTCCCCAACATACTTGGACGGTGGCCATTCTTCTATACCTCTCCCTGTACTGTCACTGCCGCCAGCCCAGTCTAGGCCACTGGATGTCTCCAAGGTCTCCTTCCTGACTTCTCAGGAGCCACCTGTGGCATCTCTAGGCGTTTCTCCACCCAGCAGCCAGGGTGAGCTCTGAAGGGCTCCAGTGTGGCCAGGTGGGTCCACACGAGCTCTAGGACAGTCTAACCCCTCTATTCAGGAGTGGAGGCCCCGTGTACCCCTCCACCCAGCCATCAGTTCATCGGAGCCAAGCAACTTCCTGTGAAGTCAGCAGAGCAGGAACTTCTCGGTGTGGCAATCAGGCCCCCACACAGGGCTGGCTGAAGGGTACAGGCCCAGCCAGGGGCAAACCTGGAGCTAGGACACTGGGTTTCCAGTCCCTGGCTCAGAACTTCCCTCACAGGATACCCTATTACCAACCCCAATTTTTTCCCAAGACTGTGGGGCCCTGGATGGTTTAAAGAACAGAGAGTTTACCGAGTTAGCCACGATGGTCTCAATCTCCTGACCTCAGGTGTTTCGCCTGCCTCGGACTCCCAAAGTGCTGGGATTACAGGCTTGAGCCACCGCGCCCGGCCAAAATTCTTAATAGGATTATTCTTACCAAGTTTAACAGCCTGACGCTAAAGGAGCTGTAAGAACTGCTCCATTCCCCAGGCCCTGTGCAAATAATGCTCCCTCAGGGGATGCTGCAGGAGCCACACATCAAAGTCTAGCCCTGAGGCAGAACACCCAGAAACCAGTATCAGGGCTCCATGAAAAGGCAGCGAGAAGGGGTTTGTTCTGAGGAATTTGGGCCCCTCCCGAATCCTCGTCCTTCCTACCCCTGCCCCGCGCACTGGCCCAGGTACCCCAGAGATGAGGGTCATCCATGCAGGACTGGTGATTGGACACGGTGATGAGAGGCGTGGCCGGGCCTCGGTTCTCGATGAGCTCGTACAGCACCTCCTTGTTGTGCACGGTCAGGTGGTTCATGTACTCTGGCGAAGAAGGAGAGGTCAGACGCTCAGGTTTCGCCTGCCAGGCCAGGGCCGCGGCGTCCCCTACCATGAGTCCAACGCTGGCCGGGCGTGGGTACCCGGGCGGGCCTGCCTCGGCCTGGGCCAACTCACTGGTCCAGAAGCAACTGTAGGTGCCCACCAGGCCCATAACGACGCTGCTGGCCAGGGTCCAGGTGAGCGGCGGCACCGCGGGGAACGGCCACTTGACGTGCAGGGGCATCCCTACCCAGCCGGCGGCCGGCGCTCCCCGCGCCCCGGGCCGGCCTGTGGGGCGCCTCTAGGTCTGCGACCTCGATCGCTGGAGACACTAGCCCCTGACAGGCCGGCGCACAGACGGACAGGAGGCGCGGCCCGACTGGGGACTGGACCGAGGTCCTTTCGCATGTCAGGCCGGAGCCTCGCCCGGCCCGGCTCTCTCCCCACTGAGGAGCGGTCGCTGTGGTCACAGGCCGTGGGTGCGCTGCGGAACAGGCGGGAACGGGAAGACAGCCGCTGGCGGACTGGCCCCGCGCACCCGCCAGAAAGCGAGCCTGCGCCGGTGCCTGGCTTCCCGCCGACTGTCGCAAAGCGAGCCCGGAGCGCTTTACGGCAGCGAGCCCAGCCCGGTGACCACGGGAAGGGGCCGCCCCCGCAGTGCTCCGGCTTCTCGGCAGCCATTTCCGCTAGTCTTTTGTCTCTAGTATTTCTGTTTTTTGTTTGACACACGGTCCAGGCAGACTCAGGCTGGAGTGAAGTGGTGCGATGACGGCTCACTGCAGCCTCGACCTCCCAGACTCAAGCGATTCTGCCGTCAGCCTCCTGAGTAGCTAGGACCAAGAGCGCGCGCCACCACGCTCGGCTAATTTTTGTATTTTTAGTAGACACGGGGTTTCACCATGTTGGCCAGGCTGGTCTCTACTTCCTGACCTCATGTGATCCACCCGCCTCCTCCTCCCAAAGTGCTGGGATTACAGGCGTGAGCCACCGCGCCCGACCATGCAAACAATTTTACATAGTTACAGTACTACATGAGACTATGTATATGTAGCAATATATAATCTACTTTGTGGCAGAATATACAATATATACAGCAATATATTGTGTATTGTATGTAACACAAGAAGCAGTTTTTTGTTTTTAAGACGGAGTTTTTCACTCTTCTCACCCAGGCTGGAGTGCAATGGCACCATCTTGGCTCACTGCAGCCTGCGCCTCCCAGGTTAAAGCGATTCTCTTGCCTCAGCCTCCTGAACAGCTTGGATTACAGGCAAGCACCACCACACCCAGCTAATTTTTTTTTTTAATTTTTTTAATTTTTAGTAGAGACGGGGTTTCGCCATGTTGGCTAGGCTGGTCTCGAACTCCTTACCTCAGGTGATCCGCCTGCCTCGGCCTCCCAAAGTCCTAGGATTACAGGCATGAGTCACCACGTCCAGCCGAGAAACAGTATTTTATACCACCTGATACATTCACAATGTTGTCAGCTACTACCTCTAGTTCTGAAACATATTTGTGACCCAGAAAGAAAGCCCCCTATGCATTAAGCAGCCAGTTTTTAATTTCTTATTTCTTTTTTAAGACAGTCTCGCTCTGTCGCCAGGCGCCGGGCTGGAGTGCAGTGGTGTGATCTCAGCTCACTGCAACCTCTGCATCCCAGGTTCAAGCAATTCTCCTGCCTCAGTCTCCTGAGTAGCTGGGACTACAGGCGTGTGCCACCATGCCCAGCTATTTTTTGTATTTTAGTAGGGACGGGGTTTCACTATGTTGGCCAGGATGGTCTCAATGTCTTGACCTGGTGTCCGCCTGCCTCGGCCTCCCAAAGTGCTGAGATTACAGGCATGAGCCACCTCACCCGGCCCAGTTTTTTATTTTTATTTTATTTTTTATTTTTTGAGACAGAGTTTCACTTTTGTTGCCCAGTCTGGAGTGCAGTGGCACAATCTCGGCTCCCTGCAACCTCTGCCTCCCGGGTTCAAGCAATTCTCCTGCCTCAACCTCCCGAGTAGCTGGGATTACAGATTTGTTCTACCACGACCGGCTAATTTCATATTTTTAGTAGGTACAGGGTTTCTCCATGTTGGTCAGGCTGGCCTCAAACTCCTGACTTCAGGCAATCCTCCTGCCTCTGCCTCCCAAAGTGATGGGATTACAGGCTGAGCCACCGCGTCTAGCCTCCATAATTTATTTTTAAACCATAATTTATTGATTTTTAATACTTTTTCCAGCCTTCTGCCTATCACCACATCCAATCCATTCTCTGCAGCTATCCCATGAGGGGCTGAGTGGATCCGACCCCACTGCCAGCTCACAGACCCCGCTGGAGCACCTCAGTTGTCCCAACAGTGTCACTGCAGGACCCCACGGGATGTTGGACTGCCAGCTCCCTGGGTCTCCTCCTCTCTGGAGCAGATCCTCAGTCCCCTTGACCTCACAACCATGGCCAGATCGTGTTCGGACTGTCCCTCACTTTGGGTCTCCTAACTCAGGAGTGTGCAGCCACAATGAGACTCAGCACCTGAGAACAGGGACAGAAGACTCGTGTCCTTGGGGTGCCCGGTCTCGCAGCGTTGGGCACGACTTCTAGCTACTGCGAATTCCCCAGCAGCTCCTAATTGGGTACCTGGACCGGGGGCTGAGCAACGGGCTGGGCGAGTGAAGCTTGGTGTCTTACTCAGGCGCCAGCTCCTCCTTGCCCCTGGGCCATGGCACAGGTAACTGCTCATTAAGGGACTGCTGCTGCTCAGCCGCAGAGACTGCTGGCCTGCCACGCTTGAGTGACTCACAGGTCTGTCACGTCCTGCTGGCCCGGGAAGGCGGGATCTGGGTGGGAAGGTGGGATCTGGGTGGGAAGGTGGGCGGGCAGGTCAGCAGTTCCCAGGCGCGGCGTTTGCCCTCCTGGCCGGTGGCGGGGCGGAGCCGGGGCTGGCCTGCTGTAGGCCAGGGTGGGGCCTCCGGCCCGGCCCGGCCCTTCCCGGCCGGCCGGGTGGCTCAGGAACACAGTCTCTTCCTCTTTTTCCCCTTCCTAACCCTACCTAGGCAGGAGCTGCTCTTCTGGAGTGTCGAGATCCACTTAAGGATGAGGCAGACTTGGTGACAAGCTGGTCTGAGCAGGTATGGGAGCCCCCTGGGGAGACGGAAGAAGGGAGGAAGTTGCCTTCTGCCTGGGAAGGGCTCGGGAGGGGGAGGAAACCCCATGGCTCCAGCCAAGGCTGTGTTGACAGCCAGTGTTTGGGGCAGATGCCAGCAACAGTTGCCCTCTGGTTCTTGCTGATAGCCCTCGTAGGGGTCCCTGACACCAGAGCCGCCAAGGCTGCCTGTACCAGCCCAGAGCTGCCCACATGCCCACAAATATCCCAGAATAGGCACCAGGGCAGGGAACCCAAACTAGCATGAGTGACAGAGCAGGTGGTCAGGGAGAAACAGACATGAAACCTAGCCAGGAGAGAGAAACCGCAACAGAGAGACAGATAAGGGAAGACAGAGTAGAGGGGGAAGGTGAGACAGACAGGCAGAGCCTCAGAGACGCAGGAACTGAGGCCGAAGAGAAGGTGACAGTGTGGTGGAGAAAAGCAGGCAGAGCAGAGGAACTCATTCCTCAGGATGTAAGCCACATGGACAGGGTGTGGAGCAAGGGGCTGAGCCCAGCAAGGTCAGGTGAGCGTGAGACAAAGATAAACCGAGAGAGAGGGGGGCTCCAGCTGCTGAGATGAATAAGAAGGGCTCCCCAGTGGTGACAGAAACAGGGGAAAGAGGCTCCATCGCAGGTTGCAATGGGGAATATTTGGCCATATCTGAGATCTGGTTACATGCACATGCCCTTGTATGCAGCAATTCACTGCTGGGAGTTTATCTTAAAGAGAACACCTCACAAGTAGGGAGGCAGAGATGAACGAAGATGCTCCTGCAGTTGCTAATGAAGGTGAAAAGCACTGGGGTCTCTAGCTTGCTGGCCAGGCACGGTGGCTCACGCCTGGAATCCCAGCACTTTAGGAGGCTGAGGCGGATGGATCACTTGAGGTCAGGAGTTTGAGACCAGCCAGGCCAACATGGTAAAACCCTGTCTCTACTAAAAATACAAAACTTAGCCGGGTGTGGTGGCACACGCCTGTAAACCCAGCTACTCAGGAGGCTGAGG